TCCCCTGGATGAGCGGCTGTACGACAAAAGTACGACACCAGATACACGGTATTTGGCAGGGCGGTACGGCAGGCCAAAAAATCATTCTGAGGGGGGTCTTCTGTTGTGAAGCATTGCGACAGTCAGTTTGTATGTCATCCATACTTGTATACACATGTACGTGTGCATGTATGTGTGCATGTATGTGCGCATGTATGTGTGCATGTATGTATGCAGGCAGGCAGGTATGCTAACCCCCAAAACCCCTAAAGTATGCCTGCATACATGCACGTCCCACTGCTTCTAGCTGTACGCCGTGCGAACCCTTTTCTCCCCTCGTACTGCTCCCCCCTACCACCCCGCTCGTGTCCATTCGCACCCTCGTCGCATCCCCGCGGGGCTTCCTCCCCTCGTACTGCTCCCCACCCACCCACCACCCCTTCCCCCCCGCACCTTATCCCCCGGTCCCTGAATGACTTTAAACGGCCAGTGTTTCATGTCCTCCTGGACCACCGGGTCATTGAACTTACGACCGATGAGCCGCTTGGCGTCTATAGTTGATTTGCGAGGGGGGGGGGAGAAGGGGGGGAAGGGGGAGGGGGAGAAGGGAAGCCGTTAGGGGGAGGACGGCCGTTAGGGGGAGGACGGCCGTTAGGGGGAGGACGGCCGTTAGGGGGAGGACGGCCGTTAGGGGGAGGACGGCCGTTAGGGGGAGGACGGCCGTTAGGGGGAGGACGGCCGTTAGGGGGAGGACGGCCGTTAGGGGGAGGACGGCCGTTAGGGGGAGGACGGCCGTTAGGGGGAGGACGGCCGTTAGGGGGAGGACGGCCGTTAGGGGGAGGACGGCCGTTAGGGGGAGGACGGCCGTTAGGGGGAGGACGGCCGTTAGGGGGAGGACGGCCGTTAGGGGGAGGACGGCCGTTAGGGGGAGGACGGCCGTTAGGGGGAGGACGGCCGTTAGGGGGAGGACGGCCGTTAGGGGGAGGACGGCCGTTAGGGGGAGGACGGCCGTTAGGGGGAGGACGGCCGTTAGGGGGAGGACGGCCGTGGGGAAGCAGGGATAAGAGGGATAAGAGGGATGGGGGGTAGGTGGTGGGGGGTGGGATTCTACACCCGTGGAGAAGGGCAGAGGGGCCTGGTCAAGGAAGGAAGGAAGGAAGAAAGAAAGGAAGGAAGCCATCAGGTAGACCGACCCACCGACCCACCGAAGACGGTGTTGTGCGGGTTCATCGCCACCTGGTTCTTGGCAGCATCGCCGATGAGCCGCTCCGTGTTGGTGAAGGCCACATAGGAGGGTGTGGTGCGATTGCCTTGGGAGTTGGCCACGATTTCCACGCGGTCATTCTGCCACACGCCCACACAGCTGCGAAGGTAATAACGTTTAAGAGGCAGTTTAACCGATCTAAAATAGAATTTCAGTGATAAGGAAAATCTCTTTGTTGGTGATACAAAGTAGAAAAATCAGGCGGGAATAACTCAACGACGACATGAAAAATAGCGGCTTTGGTATTGTGATGGAGATTATGTAGACGCAATGCAGCCGTTGTAGCAGTGGTGGCGCCGGGGAGGCTCAGACGCAGCTCATCAAATTATTGGGCAGGCAGCAGTGGGAGAAATCGTGGAAGGAGTGAGGTAAAAGAGTGTGGAGGTGGGGAGTTTGGAGAGGAGAGCGAGTCAGAGCTCCTAGCGGCAGGGTACGGATGATGCGGAGAAGGGAAGAGGGAAGGAAGGACTTCTTTATTACCTTGGAATACCTTTCCATTAATTATTATGATTTTATGATGCGAGGGTGATGCGATACAGCGCGATGAGGGCATAGCATGACAAGTTTGGAAAAATGATAACACGAACGAGGATAAGAGATAAGCGCAGGTGAGGAGAAGCATTAACCAAAGACGTTATTAACTCCTGACAGGCTTGACTTGACTTGAATTGCGTGAGGAATACTTTATTTTTCTTACGTGCGTTATGTCTGTGAAAACGCACATCGGGGCTTCTTTTTTTCCTTTTGATGCTATAACTGTAGCTTAGAACATGCCGAGCAATTGACAGCAGGAGGTGGAGGAGAGCGTAGTCGAGCGATTTACAGGAGGTGGAGGAAGAGGAGGAGGAAAAGGAACGCGGCGACGATAGATGCCTTGCGGCCCAAGCGACTAACGAACATCTTTTTTTGTCGTCTTTGTCTTTATTACGACAGTCGCCCCCGACACCGTAACGTTAACCTTTATGAAGGGTCCATGGCTTCCCCGGCTTTGATGGATGGTCCCCTCCGCACTTGGACACTGTGTCTGCAACTTTATTTGTTATCCCGCCAGTACTCTACGCGCGCGCACCTGTAGGTTGTCCCGAGGTCGATGCCAACTGCTGGCGTAATGTTAACCGACATCTTTCAACCGACAGAGCAGTCTAATCGTAGCTATATTGGAAGTCGCTCCTTGGTTGAGAGTTGTAAAGCGCCTCCCGACCGATTCTGCTACCAATTCGAATCTCCTGCCAAGCAGAGCCTTCGAGGTCAGTTCTCGGACCAAACTAGGAAATTAACGAATCAGAAAAGGAAAACTGGTAGCTGGATTGCAGAGTTTATTAAGAAAACCTTCGCTGAAGTAACACTTTCACACCGCATCGCGTTTCGTGAGAGTTGTATCAGAACCTTGACTGGGTTATATTGCAAGGCTGAGCTCCAGGGTGACCATGCGGCCCCGCACACGGTGTCGCGGACTCGCGGTGCTTCGATCCGACATGCAACTGACACACAAACGATCCGACGATTGCCCTATAGAATACAACATGAACAATCGCGATACGGCTGCATCCTCCGAAGCAGTCCTAATTTAGCGTTTGACCCCTTGATCCCGTCTCTCACGACTTCTTCCTGCCGTTGGCGAAGCATACTAAATTGCTTTGGGCAGCAGCGCCACACAACATAGAGCTCCTTCCGGTCGGTCTGTTGGAAATGCCAAAAAGACCCACGGGTCACTCTTCGTCCCCTCGCCTGTCTCTGATCTATTAAATGTTACAAAGGAGTTTTCGTTGCTGGGCCACCACCCAACCACCTTCCTGAGAGTGTCTTATTTGTTATCTGTTGGTCGACTGAGAAGTTTCCGGCGGAAGACGCCTTTGAAGCGCCTTTGGATCTCGAGTCAGTTCTGTATATGCATATATATGCATATGGGATCTCCTTTATTTACCGAATATGTTGTTCCTGGCTGCTGTCTGAAGCAAGCAATTTTATAAACCTAACCTTATTTGTCCAATCCAACTGCACAAGGATTATTACAGCGCTTTGACACACATGGTATCGTCTGTATATATTGGCGCTATCCGCCGCTGGTGATGGTGGTGATGGTGGCAACAGCAGACAACAGCAGAGAAAGTCGAGTAATGTAGCGGTGGGATAACTTGGCGAATATTCAGCAGCGCTCTCCTTTCGCAAACGAATAAATGAATATATAAACCCGCATCTAAAACAAGCTGTTCTCGCTAGTCATCACTTGTCGTCGCACCCAACTTCAGCTAGTCTAGACCAGCAGAGCCGAAGATAGGAATGTGTTCAAACGCCGCTGCTGATGTTAATTTTTTGGCGCCACCGCCTTCAAACAGCACAAGTAAACCTGGCCGTCCAATTGCAAGGCCAGTTAGCCACACCAAGGAAAACTTAGAAACAAAAAACAGTAATATCTTGCCGTACAGTTCCTTTCATCTACCGTACATTCATGTAGCCAAGTAAACTGGCACAGGTAAAGCTTAGGGACGATAACAACGCATATTCAACATCCGGCAGAATCACAGTCCAGCGGTTGCAACGCACGAGATAATTGTGGCGTGTATGTATATTTCGTACAGATTCTTCGTACATCGCTGGAATGCTCCCCCTTCCGCAGAATCGGGTCCAGCAAAGCATCTCATCTGCCAACAACGTTGCCGTACAACTTCATATCTTCTTCTTAAACATTAATGTACGACAGGTAGAGGTCTGGAATTTTTTCATGAATGGACAGTGCAGGAGGTTTTATTAACGAAACGCCAACGAAAAAACGAACGACGTTTCGCGCGTACCGCAAAGGTGCGTGTTTGATGTTCGCGTGTGCGTGTGTTGCAAGGGTCTGAGCCGCGATGGCGAATGCCTGCTGTCATGGTGGTACAGCAGCAGCAGCAGCAGCACAAATGAGCAGTAACTTTAGGCGGGCGAAAGCGACAGCTCCGAACAGTCGCCGCAAAGCGACGTGTTAGCTAGACCTTCCAATGAAACTATGTTACAGTAGACGTAGCTGTTTGAATCTCTCTCTCAAGTAGATGTCGATGTTAAAGGAGTGATGTGGTGTCGAGAGCCCGTTGGAGCAAACGGGGGCGCTGTATTGGCGAAGATCGACCTGCAGGTAGTGGGCTGTTAGAACTAACTAAAGACATCGAGGGCTGCCTCTCTGTGTGAACATATTTGTGTCGCAATACATAAAAACCCTACTCCAACAAGAATCAACTGGTTCGCACGAATTCATGGGTGTGCATATTATCGTACACAATATCAACATCAACACTAGCATAACTCAACGACCTAAGTCGGCGTTTACCCAACACGGGGTGCCGTATTGACCATGAACACATATGCACGTGAGTACGGGTGTAATGGATTATAGTAACGGATTGCATTCCGTACGTGTACGGCACGTGGCAACCGAATGGGAGTCCCTCAGAGTCCGTTCACTGTCTACCCTTCCACCCCCCGATGCGGATTGGTGGTGATTGAAATAGCTATATTAGCCGAGATGGGGGGAAGGTTGGGGCCCAAGGTGAAGAAGAGACGAGGGAGAAAAATGCCAATCAACATCTCTAAGGATTGTAAGCGTCCATGTCCAAGCCCATGATGCAGGTCACCGCAGACAGATCGACATCACCATCGACTATTTCGGCTTATGCCGTTACACTTATTTATGAAGTTTTTTGACTGTATTGACTGCGAGCTCCATTTATTACTCTGCTTTATTTTTCCGGCATGGCCAGAGGGGGGTACATCACAACATTTTATTATCCCGGCCATCATCCTCGTCATCACCGCGCCATCATTATCGCACACCGACAGACACCGACATGCCAACAACGGCGCCGTGATCACCTTACACGAAAATTGCATATTGACGACTCCTCGTCGTACACATTGCGGAACCATGAATTAGGTCTTAGGGTTTTGTCCCGCCACAGGAGACTCACCACAATGCTACCACATGTCAGGCAAGCCGTACTTGTCGTACAAATCTTGCCCCAGACGCTGCACGAGGCAAGGTGTTACCATGCGTTGCACGTGATGTGCATGTATGTGTGCCCAGGCAAACCCATGTGTGACCCCCCTCTGCTTGCCATATTGCATGTAGCGGCCACTGGGGCGACATCATTTTTGCACAGAACGGTTCCCCGAACACCACGAACACACATACATACATACATACATACATACATACATACATACATACATACATACATACATACATACATACATACATACATACATAGGGTTGAGGAGTGGTGAGTGGAAACAGGTGGCCGTAGCGAGGGCGCGGATGAGGGGGAGGTGGGCACCCAGAAGGGGGGGCCGTACTCGAAGGTGCGCGCGTGGTGCAGGACTAGGTTCTTCAGGGTACGAGACCGGGTTTTTCGTGGTGCGGCGTCTAGGTGAGATAGGATCTTGGGAACCAGCCGTCTTGGTAGAGCGGTATTGGGGGGGCGCCGAGCTGGCTACCCTCCCCCCCTGTGGTTTCCGGAGGCTTGATCGCCCTGCGTTGCCGCAGGGTCTTCCCGTTTGAGTACTTTTCAATTTAGACCCAGTGCTGTGGAAGGGCGCGGACTTGTGCGGTGTTACCCCCTCGACGGGGGCTATCTCCCCTGGACTAGCCCAGGGAGGGAGAGGCGGAGGAGGGTAGTAGTCTCAGGAGGCTGTTTGGCGTCTTGTGGTGTGAGCTCTTTGCGCTCTTTTTTGCGTGAGGATTTTTGAGCTTGGTGACCTCCCCAGCCCGGGAAGACTCGTCGGGCTCCCGGTCGCCCAAGTCCTGGTAGCGAGCTCTCTGAGATGCTCGGTTCGTTCGGTCGGCAGGAAGAGCCCCCCAGTTGCGACTTCGTTTATGTTAGGAGACCAACGGGCATAGATCCCGTCTAGTTGGAGCGCCAAACAAGCGCTGTTGCGTGCCGGCCGTCGTTTCCCGTGCGGCCTGACCCGGGGGCGGAGTGCATGAGACTAACCAGCCGTATGCACCCGCCCCCCGCGCTGTGCTTCGGCCCTGGGCCCCCGGCTTTTCAGCCCACAGTGTAATCAACGTCATACATACATACATACATACATGGAGGGGCTGCGGAGTGGCTGCGTAGAGTGTTGGCAGTCTGAGTCGGGGTCGGGAGCACACAAGACTAACCGACTTGTGCTGTGTGCTCCCGACCCTTGCGCTGTGTTTCGGCTTCGGCCCCCGGCTCTCGCGGCCCACAGTGTAATCTAAGTCATACATACATACATACATACATACATACATACATACATACATACATACATACATACATACATACATACATACATACATACATACATACATACATACATACATACACATATGTAAATGCCAATACATGATCGTGTACAGTAGTGCAGGGTGCCCTTCCATTGGAGGGTGGAGTACCTTACCTTAAGTCGTACCGTACGGCAGCTGCAATGCACATGTACGGCCATATCCCCCAGTCCACAGCTCTCCCAGCAACCCAACCCCGGGTGTTTGTGTGTGTTTGTGTATTAATATGTGTGTATGTGTCATTACTGGGTTTCGTTTCCATAAAAAAATCTGTGCTTAAACCTGAGAGAACCGTTCCGGGTTTGAAACATAGCAGCATTGGCAGTAGCAGCATTGGCAGTAGCAGTGGCAGCATTGGCAGCAGCCGCAGTTGCGGCAAATAAACCGTCTTCACCGTCCAGTCACCGCAATCATGAATAGCTCCAACAGCAACAACACCTCACACTGCAAGAGGCGTGTTTGTTGGCGGGCACAACCCCAAAAGGGCCCAAAACTCGGATAGTTCAGGAGGAACGCAGCAACCAATACAACCGAGAACATCGAGATCGAGGAGAATAAAGCCGCCGTCTCCCCCCCTGGTTTTTCCCTCTCCCTTTCTATAGGAGGGGAAGACGCTGATAATCGAGATTGCCAACTGTCGCCAGCTTTGCATCCTCCTGACCAGCTTTACATCGCCATCTCCGGAAATGCGGTAGCGGTAATAAGCCCCGCAAACACCCCAACATGTATCTATACGCACACACACACGCGCGTCCGGTCATCATCGTACGGAACTACGTATGTCTAGCTATCTCCTCCCATCCCCCGGCCCCAGGAATCAAACGCTCCTGACGCCCGGGACGAAAATTCAACACCTTGATAAATTACCCTATAGTTCCTTTGTGCAATCTTTTCTATTTTTTTCTTTTGCAAAAACAATCCTTATTCCTTTCCTTTGCAACATATATACGAGGCCAGGAATGCAGACATACCGACGTATCTCCCCCCATACACACACGGCGATACACACGTGAATACACATCCACACGCACGCAAATCATTCGTACGCAAACCAGTATACATGCCAGCTGCAAGCTAGGATTGGATTGACGCGAAAACCTAGGCATCTTAACCCCACCATCACCATCACCATCACCATCACCATCACCATCACCATCACCATCACCATCACCATCACCATCACCATCACCATCACCATCACCATCACCATCACCATCACCATCACCATCACCATCACCATCACCATCACCATCACCATCACCATCACCATCACCATCACCATCACCATCACCATCACCATCACCACCACCCTACCCAGCCACACGTGCAAAACAAGGTGATTGCTCTCCTTCATTCGCGGGGCTCATCACATCAGCTCGCAAGTCCCCTCGTACACATCTCTCCTCTCTCCTTGTATCTCATGCTACAACACTCCTCAGCTCCATCTCCACTTCGAAACCCATTAACACCAAATCGTTCATTTGGCTCAAAAGGTGTGAAAAAATGCTTGAAGCATATGAATATAGGGCCAAGGAGATGTGCCCAAACACCTGCCATGCGCCGCCAAGGCCACTCCATACAAAAAACAGACAACACACAAAATACGCTTATCGTGGGGGTTATCGTCGGCCAGCTGAAACACACACATGGACCCACATGGAGGTGTGAATCGAAACACGTTATGCATATATACATACATACACACATACATACACACATACGGCTCATCCATTCGCAGCACAGCACACACTCAGCTCATTACTCCTTCGCGAAATCAGAACCCGTAACGTTACGCACTTCCTAGGGAAGGTCAAACCCCGGCTTCCACGAGCCTCCACCAGCCTCGGAGAAAAAATAAATGTAGACGCCAATAGACTTGCGGTTGGGCGGGGGCCAAGAGGCAGCGAGAGAATGAAAAAGATGACATGCAATACGTACCCACGTAACCCCAAGGCGTATCCCCCCCCACCCCCCCAGCTGCAAAAGCAATGACGCATATTTCCCCTTTCCGTCGCGTTACGTCTGGCCCCTAACAACCGTCGGCAACGTCAGACTTCGGCGACTGGATGGCAGCCCCGCCAGCCTGCAGTCTACCGCAGGTACCGCCGACGAGGATGGCGACGGCGACGGCGACATCGCGCCGTACAACGACGCGCTGGGTGACGTCGGACTGAGGCATGACGACGACGCCACGCAGCCAGCGGGTGACGGCGACTGCATCATCGCCATCGGCGTGATAGATCCGGATCCAGATGTCTGACGGCGCAGTTGGTACGGCACCGGGCCGCTGCTGCAGCCACCGCCGCCGCCGCCGCCGGGCGGTGTCGGAATCAGCGCATGAGGGCTAAGGGTCGCGGCGGCGGTGGGGGAGCTGACGCTGGCGCTCCGGGCCACTAGCACCGGCGACGGTGCTCCAGTGCTGGACCGATGCATACCGCCGCCGCCGCCGCCGCCGCCGCCACCAGCGTGACGTGTCGTCAACTGGCCCCTCGATGTAGCGCGGACCTTCATGCTGCTAAGAGCCCCGTGGTGGTAGAGGGACGACTCCAAAGCGATGCTGGCGGTGACAGCGACGGCGGCGGCGGATGATAATGTGGTCGATGCGGCGCTGGCGGCTACCGTTGTGACCGTATCTGTGTTTGTGGGCACTATAGCGTTGGACATCGTGGCTGTGAGGAACGGAGTGACCGCTGTGGCGGTAGCAGCAACAGTAGCAGTAGAGGTGGCTGTAGTTGTAGAGGGCGGTGAGGATTTGGGCCCGGTGGGGCCGGTCTCTGCCGGAGATGTGCTGCTTGAGTTGAAGAACCTGACCGCCCGGACCGGACCGGGAGGCAGGGATGCGCGTGTGTCAGGAAAGGGGTTGGGTTGGGGGGGGAAACGAGGGGGAGCGGGGTTTCGGAGCGGATACGGACTGGGGCAGAGAGGGAAGGGTTGAAGCGAGGGAAACGCGGGCGATGGATCAGATCAGCAGAAGCACAATCGGAAGGTGGCGTTCACTTTTATTGCAGGTGCCGCCCAGTGCTGAGCTGTACTGTAAACGCGGATTGTGAGCGAAGCACGGATTATCACTCAGAGATCCCACAGCGGTCACACAGAGGTCACACAGAGAACTCACCCACGCAGGAGGATCTTCAGAAACCTCCCGCTAGCGAACCCACTGCTGCTGCGACTGCCGGTAACCTGAGATGATGATGTCGCTGGACCTCGAGCTAACCCCCCGTCATGACTCACACTGCCCCCGCCGCCGCCGCCGCCGCCGCCGCCGCCGCCGCCGCCGCCGCCGCCGCTACTCACAAATCCAGAACCCAGGCCGCCGTCGGCGCCGCTGCCGCCACCATCCATAGACTCCTCTCGCGCGGCAGCTCCCCCCCACGCTTGAATGTACGGTAACTGGGCGGTTGACGTCCCAGTGCCGAACAATGTCCCAATGGAGCGCCGTACAGATTGCACGTGGGTGGCTGAATCAGCCATTTCCACATTGGACGGCCGACGCGGTGAAACCGCCGCGGCCGCCGACGACGACGACATTGACGACGTCGCCACCGCCATCGGGCTTAAGGGACCCCCCATTTGCTGTTGGTGGTGCTGATGTTGGGATGGGGATGGGGATGGGGATGGGGACCCAGCCGTGGTTCTGGAGCCCACATCTGTGAAGGTTGTACGACGCAGTGTACCAGGGGATTTGGATTCCGTGAAGGATCTCGCGGCCTGGAGAGTCCGGCGGCTAGTGGGTGGAGTTCTGAAGGGAAAGGCGGCGGCGGCGGCGCCGCCGAGCATGCCGCCGGCGGGGATTGTGATGCTGGAGGCATCGAAAGTGACGACGGAGGAGCGCCGTTTCTCTGATGCGGACTGGGCGACTGGAGTGCGGGTTGCCTGCTTGCAAGGGTTTTTGCACGGGGTTCAGGGGAGAGGAGGGAAGGTGCCTGGGGTTGGTGGGAGAATAATCAACGAAGTCATCTTAGGTTGGGGGTTGGGTCGGGCTGGTGAGGGTGGCAGGCAGCAGCTCTGGGTGGGGCTGGAGGGTACGGGGTGGGATATAAAACGATATAAAACGTGGCTGAGTATTGGGATACAAAGGGAAGGACGAGGTCCTGGGGGGAAGGGCGGCTGCACGGGGGGACAGCTGCTAGGCGCTTGGAGGATGGGAAGTCGGCGAGTAGGGCGACAGGGGAGAGGGCCGGCTTTGCGATTGAGGGTTGATGCAATTGAGGCGTTTTTCAATTTAAGTGCTTTACGACTTTAGGGTGCAAACGAACTGGGGAATAAGTAACTGTAAGGATTAAGCTTGGGAGTTAAGGACAGGTCTTTCTTGGTTACGAACCACGTTACCCTTTAGTGTTTGCAATAGTGGAAACCACCTGATATGCGTAATATTTTTATTGATGAATAATTTGCAACTGATGATTGGTAGAGGCCTTTGACGTTCATTTTCTATCCTTTCATGTTAATTGGAGGTCGGAACTTTACCGGGACAGGTAGGTCGTTGTCGTCCTCCGAGTCTTCGACCTGCATCGGCTGAACAGGAGCAAATTGAAGCACCTGCCCTGAATTATTCATCGGCGCCATGTCGGTCTCTGAGGTTTCCTGCAGCTGGCCTGAAGCGTGCTGCGCGGCGGCAAGCAATGCTTCCAGCTCGGCCATGAGTGCCTCGCTGCGGTCGGCATCCTGGTGAAGTCCGCATAATAGCTGCTCTGTTTCCTTTATCATGATGCTGGCTCGGCGATCCTTGCGTTGTCCCACAGGAACAGTTGGCAGTGCAGCTGCGTAAGGAGCGTACAACCGGGACATACTGCCTCTTTAGCGTCAACAATATAAAGTAATCCCTCAAACAACTGATATCTCTTTCAACTTGGACGATATGAAGTAAGGTTCATTTAACAAACGGAACCGGGTCCCAGAGGCCAAGTAGAACTTCTTGAACTCGACCCGTAACTCGACAGGATTACAACACGCACTTGTAAGGCACGTGCGGTGCAGCAAATTATTCTGGCAGCATATGAAAGCAAATGCCGAAATTCGCTGCGCTACCCACCTGGGGGATTGCAATTGTCTTGTGCGTTAGGGCCTGGCGATGCCATTTTAAATCAGCGTTATATTTTAAAGTTACAAGCTGCTTTCGATAAAGCTTTGCGAGTCAGTTGTTATCCTTCCGTCCCGAGAGTTGGAGCTTCCTAACATCTAGGCGCAAGGAATAGCTGGAAAGTACATAAGCGAGCACCAGTTATCTCGTAATTATTGTTTCAGTTTATTGACGCAGTACGTATGTTTAGATGCAACAGCATCAACGTAACTGAATGTAACCGTACTGATAGAAGGTCCGACGCCGCAGAAAGTTTGAGGCGCAATTGAAAACAGTAATACGATAAAATCCATACCTTCGATACGCAAATGAGGTTTCGTGGTTCACCTAACAGCGAGGCATGTGCACGCCTACTGTATGTCCGACCGCAAAAGTTCACCGTAGCTAGCCAGCAGCCGTTGTAAACTGAGAGCATTCTTGTCTCCTTAGCCGCACAAGAGTGGTGCAGTACGCAATAATGGAATGCCAAAATACAAGGTTTACGGTGGAGGAGATTTCCCTGACCAATACAGATACAATCCATTCACACTTGTACTGATAGCGCTGCGGTACGGGATTGCGGCCGTTTGGAAAGGCCACGATGGATCGGGGCTTGGAGCGAACTTACGCCGCCGCAGCCAGGGGCTAAACCTTTTGTGGCCTAACTAAAGAGCCCTGGGAAGATGCCATGCGAGCGTGCGCACGCCGTCGGAGCCGGCGCTGTTGGGGACGCGCCCGCCCCCCGCGCTGAAGTTACTGGCATCGGCAACGGTCGTGAGACACCCCCCCGCTGCTTTAGGCTCCAGCCCCCTTCCGACGCCCGCAGTACACGCTCGCACGTCCCCGGTTCCTCGCGCAACGAACACGCGCGCGCTGCTGGCCTTCGCATTTGTATTCCATGTAGATATGCAATCAATTGTATTACGAATTTCGCAGCGCTCAGAATTTACAGCACATCTTTTTGGCTCATTCCTAGACCGGTTCAGGAATAAGGAAGTTTGTTTGCTGATGTCGCGTCTGTTACTTTTGTCGCCATGAACAAGGTTGTGGGACAAAATGGCTATACGATGCCTCTGAGAGCTCCATCCTCGTGTGAACTTTCGGGGCCCATTTATCTTCCTTGCTAAAGCCGATAGCTATTATCATATTGTGCGTCATTCAATTTTTTGAAGATAACGCCACCATCAAGGGACTCCTTGCCCTCTGGGATTTATACAAAGAAAAATAAATTCCTATTATAGAGTTCTATCTGTCTCGGCTTTTTCCCCTCCGGCACTTCCCATCCGAATGGCAAACCATCAAGTTTAAATGATCTGCAGCCCCCCAACGGCTGTCGTTACTTCGAGGAGAATGGCGTACACAAAGACACGTTCGATTCGACAGTTTCCTTTCCGTTGTCTCTCAAAAAAAAAGCTCTCAAGTGCAGCTGCCTGCCTCATGCATACGATTTTACGGTACTGTTGACATGGACACGCCGTACAAACGGTTCATTTTCTCCTTATACACTCCTCAGGAATTCAGGTCCCGAGCTTGCACCTTCACAACATACCCAACATCTAAATTTGGGTCGTAAGGATAGTTCCCGGGATAGGTAGTTGTTTGCCACACGCCTTTGCCACAGACACCCGATATGTCGTACATCCGCGCAAGCTGGAAGTCCGAAACCTTTAGCATCCTTCCGCGTTCCGCTGACAATCACCGTCGTCATCAGCACGGCATAGCTGGCTGGCTTCTCGCCCTGTGGAAATAGTAATTTTTTAAAGCTAAATACAATACCAGGGAAATGGAGAACCGGAAATTTGTTAAAGAAAGGGGAGCTTTCACGCCTTTTCCCCCCGCTCTCTCGCAATTGTACGCAGGGCGACAGTCGCAGCGCGGGCATATGTGCCGCTTTGGCGGTCAATAAGTAATATTCGGGGTAAAAGATTTCATTACAAGTAATCCAAGCATGTACGACATGTACGACATGTACAACTGCTTTCCTTTGGACATCTTCGTGAGTGCATATACGCGTGCATATGCACGTGAGAGAGAGAGTGTGTGTGTTTGCATGCCGTACAATCTACACATGTTGTCAAGGAAGCAACCCACTGCTCCCAAATTCTGTGGGAGTTCATTTCCCTTCGCCCCTAGACACACACGCACATACATACATACATATATGCGCACACACACATACACACATGCACACACACATATACATGTAAACGGGCACCCAACCTACCAAAGCCCGTAAAGGCGGTTCCCTTCTCCGTCCACTCAGCCGTTCCCGTTCATGTCTACAAAAGTCGTCTCCAAGAGCCACGATAAAGTCAAAATGTCAAAACGTGTGTACATGTGTGTACGTGTGTGTGTGTGTGTGTGTGTGTGTGTGTGTGTGTGTGTGTGTGTGTGTGTGTGTGTGTGTGTGTGTGTGTGTGTGTGTGCGTGTGTGTTTCTGTAAAGCGTGCCGTGGGTCACACGTCGATGCATGGATGTGAATCCTTGGCCCCACAAAGCCAATGGCCGTACAGTCGTACGCACAGCACCTAATAGGAAACGGAGACGCGTGTGTTTCCTGCACCGTCTCTGCTCCCCCCAACCCCCCAACCCCAAACTTCTCCCCCACACTCCTCCTTCCCCCCCATTACGAGGGGAAACCCTCTCCTCCCCCCCTTTACCCCCCCCACGTGCTCCATGCACCAGCGCTCCGTCTAACCCCCCAGACCCCGTTCCCATCCGTCCAAGGGAACACTTTGGAGGTTTCCGAAATTCAGGGCTCCCTGTGCCGTACATGCCCTCCATGCACAAAACACGCCCGTCTAATAGCGGTCAAAGCAGCAACCAGCTAAACTCGAAGTCCTCCGAGAGCTCGCCTCCCCACATACTACTCCCCCCCTCCCCCCTTCCCCCTCTCCCCCTCCGGTGGGTTCGGGGCCGCCTTCGCGGACAGCGATCCAACCACCCAACCACCCAACCACCTAGCCAAGCGATGCAAACTAAAAAATGCAACCTTCATTCCGTCCCCCCCACACACGTGAATACACTAAACACACACACACGCACGCACACACACACACACACACACACGCACACACGCGTTGCAGCGCCCTTCATCCCGGATTGGTCTCTCCCGCTCCTCCTCCCCCTGCTGCTGCTGATGGTGCTCCTCCTCCTCCTCCTCCTCCTCCTCCTCCTCCTCCTGCTGCTATCCTGTTCTTTGCACTGTGTACCACCGCTAGCACTAGTACCGTTAAAAAGTGTTATATCCCGATGCTGCTGTGTCGCTGCTGCCTCCCCACTTCCGCTGCCAGTGACCCCCCCCCCATCCCTCCCGCCGCTGCTACCTCTTATACCCCTTCCACCACCTCCCCCCCCTTCAGGCCACTCAGTGCGATCCCACGCCGTGCATGGCCAGCTCGCAGTCCGGGTCGCCGTCACATTCACAAGGTTTATAGCTCTCCACGGGCTGGTACGGCTTCGGTATGTAATCTGTCGTATACATGCTGACGCCCTCGAAGGGCCCTTTGCCTCGGAGCGCTCGAGTGCCACTCGTGGGCCGACCCGCCATCGCCCGCAAGCCGCCATTCATCTTGTGGAAATCCGTACGGTACGTTGTCGTACCGTCAAAAGGTCCCACGGAAGCCAGGTTTCCAGATGCGCTGGGGCCTGCCTTCGTGACGGGTTGCGTGCCCCAGTTTTGGAAGCTGGTCTTCATTTCGGTGGTGTCCTGGAAGGGGCCGGCGGCGGGCTGGAGCTTGGCGGAGGGACGGATACGTTGGTATGGCACGTCCTGTGGGGGCGGGTAGGGGGCAGAGGGGCGGGGGGCCGGGGGTTTAGCGCCAAAAGGGTAAAAAAAACATGTACACGCATACGTATGTATATGTAGTAAAGGCATTTCCTGAAACAATAACATAAAAACACACACAGGCACGCGGCCAAAGACATTCGGCGAACACGTCCGGACGACATGCCGTACTTCCAGGGGGTTTGTCCAACCCTCCACCGACCACAAAAGGACTTCCACTCCCCCCCCTCGCACCCTCCTCCCCCCAGACAAACCCCGGATACGCAAGTCTACCCCGTCGTACCTTCTTGACGTACGTGTCCTTGTACGTGCTGACGCCCTCAAACGGCCCCGAGTCCCGCGGGTCGTCAGCCGGCCGCCCCGCACGTTCGTACTCCGGTGCCGTACGCGGCCGAAACTCCGTGCCGTACGTCGTCGACCCCGAAAACGGCCCCTTGGGCAACGCTGCGCCCGATGCACCCGTGGTGGCCGCGGCCCGCGGCGGGGGGTCCCCGGCCTTCTCCACGTAATGCCGCCGGTACTCCGTTGACGGCACGCCGTCGTACCAACCATCCGGCCGCATCGTCTCGTCCGAGTGCCGTACACGCTCCGGTGGCGAGACCTGCTTAGGTGTGTAGACCGAGCGGTGAGTGGTCGCGTCGTTAAAGGCGCCCCCGGGGAGGGCCGCTCGTTGGCCCAGCAGCGGTACGGCAGGTTGTGGACGAGCACCCGGCCAACGGCGGTAATCATCCTGAAAAAAGGTACGGCAAGGTCCAGTCGTAAGGGGAAGGGGGGAAAGGTGGCCATGGGGGCGGGGTTGCGGGGAATTGAGAAGGGTCGTACTCAACAGACCGCTGCGATGAAACCCCCCTTCCACACACTTCGGGACCCCCCTCAAAACCCTAAAACCCTAAGACCACCCCAACCACCACCATTAAATACAGTGTTGAGTGAGGGGCTAGGCCTACCCCCCACCCCCTCCCGCTTTCCCGCCTTAAAGAGGATGGCGACCTCGGGCACAGGGGGGGGGAAGGGGTCGGAAATGCGACATCGTGGTGATGGTGGCCGCAGTTGTGGGATACCCGGGGACCGCAAAACACACACACATACACACACCACGTCTGTCCCCATCCCATTATCTGACGCACGCGTCGTAGCCCCCCG